TGTTTTTTAAGATAATATATTTTTTAATGATAAATTAATGTAAAAAATAAAAATATTATAATCACTTAATGTTATTAAAATAAAAAAAATAAAATTAAAACTTATTAGATAAATATTAATTTAAAAATGTGACCAAAAATTAAAAAATTAAAATAAATAAATTTATCAATAAAATTAAAAAATTTCAATCCACTAACGGTTTGATATAAAAAGCTACCTAAGCTAATTTTTTCAATCTGCTGGCAATTTGGATCTTTACTGCTATCCGTTAGTTTCAAACCACTAAATAAAAATTTTACCAAACACTTTGTTTATAACGGTTCAAAATATATAAATTTACTAAACACTTGTACTTAACAGTTACGGTAAAATCGTTAACAATTACCTCAAAATTGCTTTCCCAAAAGAGCCCTAAATGAGGTAAACATTAGAAGATGATATTTGACTTGTTATGAAGAGTACTAGAAAAAGTAAAATATAAAAATGATGCTCATCAGTGAGCTAATATTTGTATCATGGATAACATTTGACTCACATTTACCACTAATTCAATTGGGTGCTAATAGAGATGGTTGTTTTAGAAAGAAAATGTTGAAGCATGGAGCCGCAGCAAATGAAGTGCCCACGACAAAGCTGCTGGGTTGTTGGATTTGATGGAGGCAGTAGGAAATGTAGGGTTAGGATCTTTGTATCGCCACAACATGGCTAATGTAGCAGCAGTAGTGGTCAAGAAGATGAGGCAAAAATGCCTACTGTAGAAAACATTCCAGAATGTATGAACTGAAGTAAATCTTTCTAAGATGCAACGACGATGCTTTACCTGTCTTTCCATTTAGAATGGTCTAGGTGAGGTTCTTTCTTTCCCTTTTTTTTTTTATTCTTTTTTTTCTTCATTGGCCGTATTTTTCAAAAGGTTGGTTTTTCGAAATGAGTAAAGGGGCAACAGGCAAGTACAAAAGAAAGAAAATGTTTCATTCTCAATTACAATTCATTAAACAATAACTTAATCAAATAATTTTTTTTAAGAATTTAAATAGGTATAAGTATCTTATTTATACTTAAAATAAATTGTTCAATTGAGTTACCAAAATCCCCATAATGGGGTGAGATCCCTTGTTAAAATAAAAATCTAAAATCACCTTTTATAAGTATAATTAGATGATTAAGTTTTTTAACATTATCAATAATTAAAAACAATATAGTTCATATATCACAGGCTACGCTTCCATATTCTTTTGTTAAAATTTCAAGATGCTCGTGGTTACAAAACTGTCACAAAAATAAAAAGAAGGGAATGAGAAATTCATGAAAGGTCACGGGGTTAGGAATGGTAAAATTGCATTTTTCAGATGTTCACACATTTATATAGTGACACAGCAAATTCTTTTTATTGCCAAAAATTCAAGTTAGGGTTTATCAAAAAAAAAAAAACGTAACGCAAGAAATTTTATTAACTAAAATGGTTCGATTTTGACAGAGTTCACAACATTCCCTAAATTGTCAACATAAGTCATGATTGGAATCTATAATTGGATCATATTTTTGAATTATAAACATCACTCATAAAAATTCAAATCTAATCAATCTAGCAAAGGTTTGCCTAAGCACTGTTCTTGATTTGGCTAATTGTTCTGAAACGACTTAAAACAAAGCATATATGTTAGCACAGAGGGCAAGGGAATGATAATTGATACACACTGTGTTTTATGCTTGCATGCTGAAGAATCCTGCAGTTGTCTTTCCTTCAAATGTGAATGCAGTAAGAAAATAGGGAAGGATATACTTTTGAAGCTATTATAAGTAGAAATCCTTTGAGTTGGTCATTGGAATGGAAGTAAAGGACCTAAAGGTAGAGGAAGGAAGGCTTTGACTCTTTAAGGCTTCTTCTCTCACAGCCATGGTTTATTTCATATGGCAGGAAAAATGAGAGTTAAGCAACAACTCTGCACCTAGTTGCAGTTAGTCTCTTAGCTACTTAGTTGAGTTACATTAATGCTTTGTCATTAATTTTCTGTAAACCTGAAAATGCATGGTTGAAAGCCTTGTGGGGAATTTTGGATTAATGAAGTAAGCTTACCATTCTCTTAGAAAAGTGTTTTAGGATTCATCCACTGGTCCAGTTAAATAACCAAACAAGAAAGGAAGTCATAGAATACACAAATCAAAACCAACTTGAAAAAGAGTGATAATGTAAATATTGTGCTAAGAGCACACAGAATGAAGTCTACTGGGCAGATCATGCTAGACGACAGGTTCAAATGCAAAATATTAGTTTAAATATAAAACAACATTCAAGAATGCAAAAGCTGCAATTGACAATTAGATCTTTAAAATTGAAGAAACTATGGGAACCATGAAAAGTGAACAAGTTAAGTTTAACAAATTAGAGGAAGAAACTCAAATAGATAAATAGAGAAAACAAGGAGTACAAAATCATTGAACCAGACAAGTGAGGAAGTTGTTGGTTCATTGACATCTTTACACCAAATGTCATAAATCTAACCCCTAATCCTATAAGCAGACCACCTCCATCCCTGGATTGCAATCAAAATTATTCAAATTAAGTGATCGAAATCAAAACCGTGTCATAAAGTAGTCAGTGGTACTGGAAACCGTATTATTTGTCTATCTATGATATACTCCAACTAACTTTGAAAATATCCATTTTCTTCCAAAAGTATCAATTACCTAGACACCAAAAAATTGAAGGCAAAGCAAGAATTCAAAAACCAATATCCTTATCTCTACAAACATAAATCAAAGAACCTAAGGGTAGCAGCAAAGAGAGCAAACGCTGAGACTTGAAACAGAGGACAGAGGGCTCCATATTTTTTCTTCAACAAAGTAATTGCATTTTTCATACATAATTAAACAACACCCAATTGTCAAGAAATAAAACCCATAAATAAACATATCAAAAGAAAATTCCTTAGTGTTAGTTACCGGAAATACGGTCTGTGGCGGTCAACGAGCTGCACTCGTCCTAGAAGCGAACCTGTACAAGAAGAAGAATGCAACTCTCTAACCGGTACAGTCCTCGTCTAAAAGCGCTTCGTCCAGCTTAACGAATTGAAGGTCTGAGGGCGCAGCAGGTAATTCCGATAAAGCCGGCATAAGACTACACTGGCGGAGATGTAGCCGGCGGGAAGTGGGTGAACGTTGGTTACTCTGGGTTGGGCTTTTTGTATTTTGGGCCTAAGGTTTACGTTTTTATGAAAGGTTATTGTTTCTCATTTTCGATCGTCAGTGTTAATTTATTTTATTTAAATTTTTATGGGAACCATCAATGTAAAATTAATTTTATAAATTGCAGCATTTTTATAATTTTGAATGTTATATATTTTATTTTGAAAAAAGAAATTTTGTAATCCAAACTGTATGATAATTTTGAATGGGCTCTTTGCTCTTGTTTGGTTTAAGTATGGTAAATGAGGGTGAGGGTCTGGGGGAGATGAACGGGTAGTATGGCCTTCTCAGCATTTTTATAAGTTTGGTTTTCAATTGAATTTCTCCAAATTGGATGAATCGGCTGGGATTGACCATTGAGTTACTATTATTTTCCTTATATAAACAAATATTATTAATTATTATTTTTTTACTAACCTCTAGTACCCAAATTTTCATATTTAAAAATTATATTAAATCGCAATTAATTTAGAATTAAATTACGTGATCCACGTCTTGGACTAATAAATCACTAGTATTACCAATTATTAAGTTAATTTATAAAATTATAATATTTTATTTTTCTTTTAAG